CATCAGGCTGCACGTTCCATTTCGTCGAAAGTAGCGTTTCAGTTCAATTGCGAATAACCAGAAACGATATCAGCATTCCCGGTACCCTATCGAAATCCGTGGATTGTGAAATGTTTTTCTCGGGCCACGTGGAAGTAAATTAATCAGAGGTTCTCTGTATAAATAACAAGGTCGATAAATTCGTCGAATGGATCGCATCGTCCACGGCTATTCCGCGGCACGTTCAGGGGAAATTATTAATCGCGCTCTCGGCGGAAAATCGGACGTTTATTTGTTTTTTTTCGCTTGCATCGATCACGACTCGGTTGTTTCGGGGTTTACCTCGGGAACGGCATGAAGAAATACGGTCGAACAATGGCGCCGCCGCAGAAGAGGAAGCCGAGAAACTCGACCGGGAAGGGCCGTGTAATCGAGACACGATATACTAATCGACAGTATCGCAAACGGCCGGAGATTTCGCGTCGAGTGCAGACTAGCCAGTCCATCGCCGTGCCGGAATTAGTCTACAGGCTGCTGAACACCGACAAACATAACCAAGGTGTGTACGTTTCTCCCTTACGTCGGATCCGACCGATCGAAACCAGGAAACTTTCAACCCTTTGCAGTCGAAAGTCGGCGGTATCTTCGCGATTGAAAATTGTTCTTTTACGATATCTCTGCCAATGCAATCTCTTAAGCGAAATCATATTTGAATACAGATATGATTTCCGACACATAATTTTCTATTTTATTCGAAGCGTTGTGCCTTTCATTTCGCGAATAAATAAATAAGTTTCTGGTAAGCGATCCGAAGGAGCTCTCCTCCAAGTGCAAACGTTTAATTAATTGTTACAAGAGTTGCCTTCATGAAAAGATAGACTGTAGGATAGATTTTTTGACGGACAGAACCTGATTTATCGAATTTATTGTTAAGTTAGAAGGTATTAGCCGGTCCTATGAGATATCTTATTAATTATTCTCGTTGGAACACTATGCCGAACGAGAATAAATGAGAACATGAATAATATACACAGTCCATTGTACGTGCTAAAGTGTAATGAATTATTCATTTATACGCGTTGAAAATTTTGGAAAGCTATTTTACAATTAATTTAACGGAGTTCATGCAAAACCATAACCATAATGCTCATCATTTATTTCGTTTTTAATTTGGCAATCTTTCAATCAGCCAGACAAATTCTATCCTCGCTCGAAATTGTAAAAATTCATGGTTTTATTGGGTTGGCAACTAAGTAATTGCCGATTTGTTCAATGAGATAAAAAATTTTTTTTCACTTGGAATGAAGTTTAATCTGTAATGTATCTTCCATTTTGTTCGATGACCTTTTGCCATCTCTCCGACAACTTGAAAATTCCACGCTCGTAGAAAGTCTGATCCTTTTCGGCCAAAAACTGAGTTAAGCGAGATTTTACAGCGCCATCATCATTAAAAGTTTTACCACGAAGGGAGTTGT